GGGGTCACATGATTGTTGGGTTTTTCTCTGTATGTATTATTGTAGGGTCTACCTTACAATATAAAGCGCCTTGAGACGACTGTTGCTGTGATTTGGGGCTGTATAAATAAAGATGAATTGAACTCTGAAGCTCCACCTGCACGAGGCTCTGGGGCGGAGCTGGGGTGTAAACGTGGCGTTTTGTTGCGGACGTCGCTCGGCTCACCGTATTTGATGTGAGGCTGACACGTCTCGTTGGTTCGTTTGTCTGCTGTGAGCGTCACGTCCACGTCTCCTCTGTAGGTGGCGCACGCCGCTGCACGATGACATGTGAACAAACACGTTACAAAAACCTTTCACAGGTGACAGAAACCTCAGCCAATCAGACGGCCGACTACCTGTCATGCACTGACACTGTTCGCCCAGACAGAGGCGCTGCAGCTTCTGCTGCTCGTAGGAGAACTGCTTTGTGCACAAACTGCCTGAAAGAGATTAGAAATAAGACTTTATTGTTATTATTCTGCACAGCAGGAAAAAAACAGGGACATGATGAATCCGATAGTTCAGGAAAAACGAGGAGCTTTTCCTCACAATGCCCACGTGTTTCCTTCTCAGCTGTAAATAAGCGATGGGAACTTGAATGAACGTGTTTCGAACTTAAATGGATGGAGCGCTGAAATAACGACACGACGCTCTGCTGCCTCAAGAGTTTAACTGAACACAAGACTCGAGCAGCTTTGCATGATTCTCAGTTCAAAATAATCCCTGTTTATGTCATACTGGGACCTCAGTTCATCCTGTCTGAAACAAGCTCTTTTAACACCTCTCTTTAAGCCCCTCCCTCACTAAAACCCCACTTACTTATGATTGGCCAGCTCTGGATGCCAACTGAATGGCAGCAGTGTCTAAATTTGACGTTTGTAGCAGACAAGTTATTTTTAGAGGTGTTTCTTATGAAGGACTGTAACTGGCAGGAGGCAATAAAAACAGAACAGATACTTTTAATTTGAAAGGATTGAACTTCCATGTTTCCAAACGAGCGACGGGTTTCGGACTCTCACCTCTGTCCTGGGGCTCGCTGACACTGAGCAAGGACTTGGTGGCTCCGGTCACCGTAAACGTGGTCCTAATCCGAAAGCCCACGCACAGAAACATGTCTGAGGGAACCTGGGGGCCAGACAGGAAGTGACAACAACACGTG